TAAAGACTCGGTAAAGATCTCACCCAAGATAGTTGATTTATAAGGTGATGCCTATTCTCATTGCCTGAAGACCTAATACCTACAGTCAGAAATCAAGGTCTGCTCCAGTAGGAGATAGGTACACTAAAAGAATTTAAAGCTCTTGCTAATTTGTGTTAGTAGGGAAACACATGTGAGAACGGATTTTAATGATACTGGATTGAGATGAATGAAATATAATACTGGATTGAGCTTTAGTTCTGAAGGTGTTGAAACAGGTATATTCACCTGATATTCTGGATTTAATATGTTGTCCTAGTCAGCTGTAAGTGGTTCTAAGAATTTTCTTGGATGTTAACTAAAATTTGAATTCAGTGGTAACCTACAACCGATGAGGCTGAGATGTCATAAGTTTTTTGGCGTGATGTAGAAGAAATCCAAACATTTAGGGAGACAGAAATGTTGAAGCGAATTCATCAGGTTCACACCATTCACCTTCCTCCAACTATGATCCTGGACCTGGTGGGGGACTCAGAGGACTCTCTATTTCACTAAGTCATTGAGAAATGAGTCAGTGTGGGGAGACACTGATATTGAAATGGACTCCCAGATTTCAATGAGAATTATGGGATTCCCATTATTGGAGAAACCCTAGTCCTAGTGAGCAGAAACATGACTTGAATTGTCACAGTAACAAGTTATGGTACCTCATTATGTTTCCATACCTAAGCCAGTTTATAGATCTGGAGTCTCTTGACTGAAGAGGGGTCTATGTCACCTCAAGGAAGGACCTGTTTCATTTAGTACGATAACTGTGTCCTTGGAGGAAAATGCAGAATTGACACTAGCTCTGAGTTGACAATTTCTAGAGGCTAGAAATAGCATCGTGATCTACTAAACAGAGGCGTATGGAGGATAGAGGATAAATTAAATTCCACCCCTGAGTTTATCTCACAGTGGTTCCATCATATAACAGAGCCACTCTGTGGTTTCTGAATTCCTGACTTCATGGTTGGAATATATGTATTTAACAACTAGTAGAGTACTTACATTAGTCTTTGACTAATGGTGTAAGGGTGAACATGGTAAGAAGGGTCAAACTGAAGCCAATGGAAAAATCTCTCCTACTAAAGTAGTAAATCAAGTTATATAATAATACCAACTCCCTGTGGCGATTGTAAAGATTAGTGGAACCAAGAAAAACAAACACTGCAGGTTGTCAATTCATATCACACCCTTGTTTAATATCTAATGATATTAGATTAAGATGAATGGAATATAATATTGGATTGAGCTGAATTTCTGAAGTTACTGAAACAGGTACACCTCCCTGAGATTTGTTAATATCCTTGCTTGTTGGGCCAGCATAAAAGACAGACAGATTTGTAGAATGCCTGGCAATCATCATAAAGTTCATCAAGTGGTGACCCCAATGACAGCTACTTCTCCTGGTGTTGTATCTTTGCAAGGGCAAATGAACACACTCCCTGGTATTTGGTCTGCAGGTGACAGATGTTTTTCCTTATACCAGTTAGGATGGATTATCCAAAGCAGTTTGCTTTTACCTGGCAGAGACATCAGTGAACCTCAGAGTTATACAAAGTCTCCTGTGTTTTCATAATACAATCCACCTAACCACCTGGACATCTTACAGGCTACCATTGTTAACACCATGCTGAGCATTTTGAGCAGAAAGGAGCAAGAATCCCAGATGTCATGCTAATACAAATGTATGCCAGGAAGTGGAAGAAGAATTCAGGGGCCCAACACATCAGTGACATTTCTATGGAGAATGTAGGGTTATTGGCTCTAGGCAAGTTCTTGCACTTTGCACCACTTACCCCGCACATCAGAGTGTGTATAAAGCTCAGTGGGACCTTTCGGATATAGGAGGCAATGTATATTGTACTTGAGTGCCACTCTGACCTATATATTGAGAAACCAATACCCTGCCCATTTTGAGAGAGACCCAGGGCAAGAGAAAGCTCTATGTAAAACAGTCTGCAGAGCAAGGATCTGTGCCCCTTAGCAGGTTAAAGTGATAGATACAGGCACTAAATAGAGCATTTTGCATAGCCAGGTAGACAATGAATACTGAACACAATGGGATTCTAAATTTACTTCGACTATGACCTCTCCTACCCACCATGAACTTAATGCTTTCTGATCCAACAAACTAAAAGCATGGATATATGCAGCTGTAATCCATCATCACTGGAACTCTATGAGATCGGACTCATGCAGATTGAAAAATTGGTGACAAGAAAGTCTGAGGTCCTTTATGGGCTTCTGAAATGGGTACAGAGGGTTAAGGAAGTGAGTGTCACCTGAAAATACTCACCACAGAGCAATCTTAGTAGAGGGGGATCTCAGTCATCAAGTAGAGAAAAACTTCTGTGATGTTAGCCAACCTCTTTCTGTAGTCACCACAATGCTTCCTAGATGACGCATGTACAAAGCGGCCTTGGGGGCAGGGATGGAGGCTACCCAGTGACTCAGTAAGATAGACTTTCCTCTCGTCAGTGACGATCTGGCTTTCTCTGTGGCTACATGTGCAACCACCCAACAGCAGACACCACCCTGACTACATCAGATGACTCCTTTCTTTGAGGGACTGTCTGGCTGCTGGTGGCATATTGGTTATTTTGGATCTTTTCCGTCAGGGAAGGAGAAGAAATTTGTCCCTAAGCAAATATATTCTGGATACAGATATACCTTCCTTTTCCATAGTGCCTCTGAGAGCACCACCACTTACGGACTTACAGAATGTTTTATTCACTGCCTCTGACAGGATGTAGATTTTATTGTCAGTTTAGTGCAATGATAGGTTCCTGTCCGTGGAATTTACTGGTCTTACCATGGAACTCCTAACCCAGAAGCAGCTAACTTTAAGAAATGGCCTAAAGAAGAATCAGTTATAATATCAGCTATAAGGCAACATTTGGTGAAGTTGGGAGTTCTGTCCTAAAGGTTTGGGATATATCTTAAAATAGTGGTTGCTATATCATATTGTCTTCCTCAAAGCCAGAATGCATGGATCCTGGAACTTGGAAGTAGAGATGTGAGGCTTTCTTTTACACCAAATAATCTATGGGACAATTTTCAGTTTCTTCTCTGCAATCTTGGGCTCCGTGAGTTTGGAGGTTCTAGTGCACAGGGAAACAAAGTGATGGTCCTGTTGCATTGCAATCTGAGACTTCCCTTGGCCATTTTGCCTTCTCATCATGCTGAATCAACAGCCAGAGAAGGGGGTCTCTATCCTGGATCAGGGAACTGAGCACAGCTACCAAGATGACAGCAGGTTGTTATTACACAATAGTGGAATGAGGGCTGTAGATAGAATTCAAGGTGTTCCCTGGGAGCCTCTTAAACCATGGCAATCCAATGAATAAAGACCCACTCAGGCTTCAGATCCCACAGGGAAAAGGTTTATGTCATCTCACTAGTAAAGAACCCTATTCAGCTGAGCTTCTTGCAGAGGGTAAGGAACATAAAATTGGTGGTGGAAGAAAGAAGTGATCAATATGAACTTGACCTTAGAACTGGCTACAGTGGGGTGCCTGGGTGGCTCAGTGGGTTAAAGCCTCTGCCTTCAGCTCAGGTCATGATCCCAGGGTCCTGGGATCGAGCCTGGCATCGGGCTCTCTGCTCAGCAGGAAGCCTGTTTCCTCCTCTCTCTGCCTGTTTCTCTGCCTACTTGTGATCTCTGTCTGTCAAATGAATAAATAAAATCTTAAAAAACTGGCTACAGAAATGAGGATTATAGCAGGCATGTGTATTTATATTATAAATGTAAGTATGTGTGTGTGTATATATATATATATATCTTTTTATATGTTAACTAATTATTTTCCCTTTTTCCTTCTCCTCCTGCTTTTTTTTTTTTCCTTAAGGAGGAATGTTAGTTATTCTTTTCTTTACAATTTAGATCAGAGTTCACCAAACTGAAGAACCACATATAGTCCCGAGGGAGAGGATCTCATGTCATCTTGGGTTCCTGGACACGATGAGGGAAACAATGTTGGGTGTTACTTTGTGTTTCACTCTTTTGGGGAGAAAGTGGTTGTTTATGCAAAAGTTGATTAAATTCTGCAAGGTAGAAACATGAAATTGTTTTACAGGAGTTAAGCATGGGTGGAAGAAGTATGGGTGCTTTGTGACAAAATGGGTGAACTGTGGTAGACATTTGTCTGTTTCCTGTCAGATTCCTCCCATCTTTTCTGTGCTTTGCTCACTATGGCAGCGACCTACATCTCCCAGACGCCCTTGCGTCTAACAATGGATAGCACTGGACAGTAGAAAACAGGCAGACAGGATAGGAGAAGGAGAAAAGTCTGTATGTTTCTCTCTTGTCTTTAGGTGACATCTTTAACAGTGACTGGGACTCCTCTCTTTATTGTCCCCACTCGTGTCTGGCAACTCATGCTAGGTTCTAGCTCTTTCTGGACATTCTACAATTTTTCCATCAGCCTTAGGACTGTTACTCTTCATTTAAAAGAAAAAATTATGGGTTGCTCCACTCTCTTGCATACTCCTCTGGTCTGTTATTACCTCTTTTATATGTCTAGTTCTCTGCGCTAAATCCCCACTGTTTAAAATACCAAGAAGAGTAGTATCTGTTTTCCTAACTGGACTCTGACTAGTGATAAAATCTGTGTGTATGCATGTATGTGCACATGTGTGTGGTATAAATCAATTTGTGTAACTATGTATAACACCTGTCACTATGTAAACATGTGAGCATGTGACTGTGTGTGTGTGTGTATTCATGTGGTAGGTATGTAATGCCTATAAAAAGACTATTGAAGGGTAGGTTTTCAAAGGGAGAATAAAGGGAGGGCTTTCCATTTTCTCTGTATCTTGTTTATTTTCAGTTAGTTTTTTACAACAAACAACTTTGTAGTTTTAAAACTAAAAATTCAAAAAATCTTTGAATGACTCAAGGTTTCCTAAGTAATGATCTGTCCATCTGGTGGCGACTTTAAAATCTTTAATGTTGTACTTAGAGGGAATATTACTATTCTTGCATTGACTTCTTATCCACACCTCTAGACAATCCCCTTTCTTAAGCAATAGGAGAAGTGTGTATCTGCATGGATCAACAAAAATATTTCAGGTTTGATTTTCTGGTGAGAGATTCTATTTTGTTCAATGTGGTCCAACAAATAGTATTTCCTCAACACTCACACAGGATACGAAGTCACTGTATCTCCTTCCGATGTCAGTATGTCCATTCTGCAACTGCTATGTCCACTCTTATACAATCCGAAATGAATATGAGGAAAGTATGAGTATACTGTATGGGTGGCCTTGCCATTTTTGTTAGTGAATTTTTTTTTAGTGCTAAAATTTATCAAGTGCTAATTTCCTCAGGAATAAGACATGATGATGCTCTTAACTTCAGCAACCTGAAGGAAGTGCTATCTAATTACACTGTGACCCTAAGATTTTTATAATCCTTTTTAGCCCAGTAGAATTTGATGTTGTGAATAAAAGGAACATCCATTTTAGAAAAAGCCCAGCAATATTCCGGTGATAAGACTTTAGTGGGTTTGTGGAGAAAGAAATACTTGTTTAAGTGACTTTCATCATGCCAGACTGCTTCAATGCTGTTTTTCTTGTCGGTCATGATTCCTTTTAAGCACTCCCTGGCAATATTGAGAACTTGAATGGGCGTGCCACCAAATACAGCAGCATGGTAATAAAAATCTCCCATACCAAAAGGTATATATGCTTCTGATAACTTACTTCTTTCATATGGCACTCCTGTAAGTTCTTCCTTGTACCAGTAAGCATGTAACTGAGCTACTGACTCCCCCAGAGTCTCCAATCCATACTTCCTGATGAAAACTTGATCCACATCCATGCAGAAGAGAAAATCAACTTCATATTGGATATGGTCTTCAACGTGTTCACTGATAGCCTTCATGCTCATCATACTGATATCTTGCCATCGCTTCTTTCACTTGATTTCAAATACTTTGATCGAACGGAGGCAACTCAACTGTATCCAAGGCATTCTGGAGAAGTCATCTATCAGGACATAAATTATGACTTTATGGCCAACCATGAAAAACTTATCTGCAGAGAACATAAATTTCTTCAAATAGTGGTCAATGTATCTGTGAAGCAAATAAGAAATGTCTGAGTTCATTGTCTTACATTTTGGTGAAACACGTACTACTTTAATTATCCTGGCTGTAGTTTGTCCAAACATGCTAGTAAGCAAACCAAATATTAGAAGTACTTCTTGAGTTGTAGTTAAGTGGTGTAAAAGCAAGTGAAGTCATCTGCTTTTCCTCTCCCTGACGGGGTTCTGCGAATTATAGGAAAGAAGAGGACTTCCTCATGAGGGGGAATGAAACTTGGTGAGGTCAGGAAACAGCATCGAGCCCAGGGCAAGATGACAGCCAGAGCCTTCAGGGTGATCAGAGGAGAGGGAATTTGCTTTTCAGGTTGTAGGCAAGAAGGTCTTGAGGCATTGCAAGAATAGCAATTGATGTCTGCGGATTGCTTTATGAGGAGTCAGTTACGCAGAAAAGGTCACAGGTAGCCTGGTCAGCTACTGCTATCTTCACTGTCTCTCTTGTTTTGCCTCATGGTCTTTAATATAACGCTAAGTTTGCAGGATTAGAAAACAAAACTTTCTCATTTCTTGTCCCTCCAAACAGTGAAACTTATCAGAACCTGATAGGTGTCCTGAGGTAACTTAAAAAAAGGATGGGCAATCATACACGCCTCAGCCTCAAATAATGTTTATATAATCCTTAAAAATAAGTTCTGAATATTGACCTAAGTTTTAAGAAACATAGTGGATGGAATCAGGAGAAAACTTTCTAGTTTGGATTATCTAAAATATCTAAATAATTAAAGCAAGATAAATTATGAAAAATATCACTTGAAATAGTCTGTTGAGTTGGAAACTAACAACTCAAGTGCAAAGAAATACAATTTATCCACATTTTTTATGGTTCGTGCTTTGGCGTTACGTTTCAGAAATCGTTTCCTGCCCAAAGTAGTGAAAATATGCTCCTATGTTTTCCTCTAGTTGCTTTATTGTTTTAACTTTCATATTAAGTTGGTTATCCATGGGAATGAATTTTTGTGTATGACATACTATAGGGCTGTTTTTGTTGTTCTCGGCCTTTAATAGTAATCCTATTCACCAGGAATACCTGGGACTCACCAGAGCCCTGCTACTTGTGGCACGACCCCCCACAGACATTTCCCCTACAGAGCCAATGTTGGCTGGACCAGTCCTAGTGGTTCTTATTACACTTGCAAGATGCATCTCAGGAACAACTACCAGAGAACTTTGAAAAAATGAGATTTATTACTCACAAGCGCTGGAGGGTACAGGATAAATACAGGGTCACAGAGTGAGGTCCTACGTAGGGAGAGAGAAGGGGGTACCTTGGAGGTTCCACCTTTTTTGGGGTCGGGTGTGAGGTGCCTGGGGTTTCACAATTTAAAACCTAGTAGCAAGAATGAAAGCACAGGAAGGAAAACGCAGGGTCACTCAAGTGGTCGGTTTTGTAGGTTACCCAGGCCTCTCTTTAAAAGGGGAATTTCATGGGAGGGGTGGCCTGGCTCTTTACCTAGTTGTCTAGCTAGTGACCACGTCAAGACTGGCAATAGGTTTATCTAAGTTGGATATCTTTGACATGGATGTCTCAGTGATCAAAAGCTTAATGGCAGGGCGCCTGGGTGGCTCAGTGGGTTAAGCTGCTGCCTTCGGCTCAGGTCATGATCTCAGGGTCCTGGGATCGAGTCCCGCATCGGGCTCTCTGCTCAGCAAGGAGCCTGCTTCCCTCTCTCTCTCTCTCTCTCTCTCTCTCTCTCTGCCTGCCTCTCCATCTACTTGTGATCTCTCTGTCAAATAAATAAATAAAATCTTTAAAAAAAAAAAAAAAGCTTAATGGCAGGCATTTACAAGAAAAAAAGTTTATTGTCAAGCACTCTCACTATAATGGCAAACTTTGTTTTTTTAAGTTTTAAAAAACTTTCTATTTTGGAATGGTGTTAGATTTATAAAACAGGTGCAAACATATTATAGAGAGTTCCCGTATGTGCTCTACCCACCTACCCCTACCGATAATATAACCGTGGTACATTTATCAAAACTAGGAAATTATCAGTGGTTAAATACTATAACTAAGCCACAGATTTTATTTTGATTTCACCAGTTTTTCCCCTAAATGGCCTTTCTAGTTTCTAGGCTCCAATCCAGAATACATATTGCATTTCGTCACGATGTCACCTTAGGCTCCTCCAGCCGGTCTCAGTTTCTCTCCAGTTTGGGTCTTTCTGATGTTTTCTTAGGTAAAGTTAATTTTTAATACAGTCACATTTATCAACCTTTTTCTTTATGATTAGTATTTTCTGTATCTTGATTAAGAACTCCTTTCTTGTCTTGATTTCACTAAGATACACTATGGTTTTCCCGTTCGGTCTTCAAGCTCCCTGGCAAGTTTGTATACACTTGCCATACATACATGCCACAGAGGTACAATTGTGGTGTTCTTGTTCTGACATCACCTTTCTCCAGCCTCATTGTGGAAGTCTTTCCCTACAGATCCACAATGTCATAGCCATAGCCAGAGTCTTTCACTTCTGCATGGGTGTGTATGTCTTATTATTTTGGCTTATTTGTTCATCCCTGTCGCAAATATTCATGTCTAAATGCTCCATATAGATACTTGTTTTTTTAAAGATTTTATTTATTTATTTGACGGAGAGAGACACAGTGAGAGAGGGAATAAGCAGGGGGAGTGGGAGAGGGAGAAGCAGGCCTCCTGCCAAGCAGGGAGCCTGATGCAGGACTCCATCCCAGGACTCTGGGATCATGACCTGAGCTGAAGGCAGATGCCCAACGACTGAGCCACTCAGGTGGCCCAAATATAGATACTTTCAATCTATCCTGTTTTCAGTCCTACCTATACTCCTATTTTCAGAGGCACTTGATGCCATTAATAACTGAGATTCTCAGTGGTTCTTTAACACACACGAAAGAGTTTTTATGATAAAGTTAATGAGGATTTGGTTTCGGTGCCCCTTCATTTGCACAGGACTCTTTAAGACTCAGTGTGTTCTACCAAAGGAGGGTGGGAAGGAAGAAGAAACTCCATTTATGTCCTGAAAGTAGGAGCATTGCCCTGGCATGGGGTCACTCGTGCCCTCTTACAGATCCTGGAGCAGCACTGGAGACAGATCAGAATAGATTTGGGAAGGAGGTGCACAGGAGCTTCTTCTGTAAGGATTCCTCCCTCCCTCCTTCCCTCCTTCCCACCTTTCCTTCTTCTTTCCTTCTGTTTTCTTTTTTAAGATTGTATTTATTTATTTGAAAGAGAGAGAGTGAGTGAGAGAGAGAGCACAATTTGGTGGAGGAGTAGAGGGAGGGGGAGAAGCAGGCTCCCCACTGAGCAGGGAGACTGATGTGGGGCTTGATACCAGATTTCAGGATCATGACCTAAGCCAAAGGCAGGCACTTAACCAACTGAGCCACCCAGGAACCCCTGTGTTATTTTCTTTTTAAATATAAATTACTATCAGGGGTGCCTGGCTGGCTTAGTCAGAAGAGCATGCGACTCTTGATCTTGGGGTTGTGAGCTCAAGCTTCACATTGGGTATAGAGATTACTAAAAAAAAAAAAAAAAAAAACCAAAAACTTATAAAATAGGTCTATTTAAAAAAAGAATAAATTACTATTAATATTTAATAATGAGTTACTATAAAGCTGATAAAATTAGAAATTTTATTTATTTATTTTTATTTATTTTATTATTATGTTCAGTTAGCCAAAATAAACATCATTAGTTTTTGATATAGTGTTCAATGATTCATAAGTTGCATATAACACAGATGCTCATCACAACATGTGCCCTCCTTAACTCAGAACTCTCTCAAAATGGAAAAATGGGTAAGTAGAGGGAAATCCTTGAAAATGTTTTAAAAAGGAACAAGCCCCTGCCACCTGAGGCAAGAAATTACAGTTGGAATAAACACTGGATGTGCTGAAAGCCTGGGAAGAAAAGTTTGGAAGAGAGTTCTTTGAAAAGTAAAGCCTCTGACAAGATCCTATGTATAATGAAGAATTAGGAAATCCATGCACATGTACAGAGCAGATTACATGCTCAGAAAAGATCTCTGAAGATCCTAAGCTTTCACCTCTGGATGATATTTGGACTCAGTAAAAACAGGAAGTAAGGCTAAGGTAGAGTTGTAAATAGCTGGGCTGTGTTGAAGGAGGACCCAAACACAGAACCAATCCTCAAGGACTGTGTAAGAGAGTTCATTTCTTCCTTCTTCTTCTTTTCTTTTCTCTCCTCTTTTCTTTTCTTCTTCCCCCTTCTTCTCTTCCTCCTTTTCTTCATCTTCTCCTTCTCTAAGAGCCCTCCAACCACCACCATCACCACCACTCTGGCTCTAGTCATTTAAGAACATCTCTGTCAAACCACTAGCTGACCACAAACCAAAGGAACAGAGACCTCCCAGACCAAATATGACAAAGAATACAGTCTTTAAAAATAGTTTGGAAAAGTCACTAAAAAGACAAACAACTACAATTCACAGTAAGCAAGAACAGCTCTAGGAGGTAAGAGAATCTGACTTCCAAAGTGATCACATTATAATATACAAAATGCTTAGTTTTCAACTAAAAATTATGAGGCATGCAAAGAAACAAGAATGTATGGTCCATTCATAGGGGAAAAAATTGACAAAAACTGGGGAATTGACAAAAACTAGGGAAGTACAGATATTGGACTTACTAGAACCAGACTTTAAACCAACTATTTTAAATGTGCTGAAAGAACCAAAGAAAACTATGGACAAAGAACTAAAGGAAACCAGGAAAGCAACAGCTTAACAAATAGAGAATGTAAATAAAGAGATAGAAATGATAAAGGGAGCCAAATAGAAATTCTGGAGCTGAGAAGTATAATAGTTAAAAAACAAAAACAAAAACAAAAAAACCCACCAAACTTGTCATAAGATTTCAGCAGTGGATTTGAACAGGCAGAAGAAAGAATCAGATACACATAGAACATTTTAACCAACAACAGAATATATATTCTTCTCAAATACACATGGAACATTTTCAGGATGATTATATAGTAAGCCATAAAGCAAATCTCAATAAATTTAAGATGGCTGGAAACATGCAAACTATCTTTTTCATTGACAATGGAATGAAATCAATAACAAGAAAATTTGGAAAGTTCACAAGTCTGTGGAAATTGAACAACACACTCTTAAACAACCAATGGGCCAAAGGAAAAAAAAAAAACACAAAAAGGAATTAAAAAATACAATGAGATGAATAAAAATGAAAATATGACATACCGAACCTTACAGGATGCAGTGAAAAGCAATACTCAGAAGGAAATGCATAGCTGTAAACATCTATATTAAAAAAGAAGAAAGATATCCTATAATAACCTAACCTTAAGGAACTAGAAAAAAAACAGCAAACTAAACCCAAAACAAGCAGAAGGAAGAAATAATAAAGACTGAAGAAGAGACAACTGACCAAGAAGAAGAGAAAAAAATGAGAATTAATGAAGCCAAAAGTTAGTTCTTTTTTTTTTTAAGATTTTATTTATTTATTTGACAGAGAGAGAAATCACAAGTAGGCAGAGAGGCAGGCAGAGAGAGGGGGAAGCAGGCTCCCCGCTGAGCAGAGAGCCCGATGCGGGGCTCGATCCCAGGAACCTGAGATCATGACCCGAGCCGAAGGCAGAGGCTTAACCCACTGAGCCACCCAGGTGCCCCCAAAAGTTAGTTCTTTAAAAAGATCAACAAAATTGACAAATCTTTTTTTTAAGATTTTATTTATTTGTCAGAGAGAGAGAGAACACCCAAGCAGGGGGAGCAGCAGGCAGAAGGAGAGGCGGATAGAGGGAGAAGCAGGCTTCCCGCTGAGCAAGGAGACCCCGATGGGGGGGAAGCAGAGGGAGTTGAATTTTATCAGCATGTTATTTGGAATCTGTGTAAATGAATATATGGTTTTCTCCTTTGTTCAATTGTTGGTTTGAATCATCATCCCGAGTACAAGGATATGCCTTACTTGTCTCGTTAGTGGGATCCTGCGCCAGTTACTAAGCTAGCATCTTTCATAACTGAACCCACCACACTATACTTGGCTTTATTGTCCTGGGCTGGGACTCTGCAAACCGCATTTCTGCTTTGCCAGTGGGCACCCTGGGCGGCTCTGTTAACAGAGGTCACTGGAGAAAAATTACAGGCCTGGAGGAAGAAGGAACTTACTCTTTCCTGTTTCCAGTGAGCTCCTTGCCTACCTCCTGTTCCCTCAAATCTCACACCCCCATATCAGCAGTTCCTTCCCAGACCAGCAGTTGAATCCAGATTTCAGATTTTCCAACACTTAAAAACCCAGCCTCACAGTGCCCTTCCCTAGAAGGCTGATTCCCTGTCCCAAGAGGCCTATCAGGAGCTGAGAGATATCAGCATCAGTGGAGTGCATAAAAGTTTAAGCTCAAGTTACCTAGTTAACAACTTTATACTCATTAACAATTCTTTGTATTAAATTCCCAGTTAAAATAATTCTGGTGCTTTCTGTGTCCTGATTAGATTTGAAAAAAGGAGAGTCACAGACCATTATCCAATCATGATCTTAACTGGACATCTCCTTGCAAAGTTTTAATTAGGATAAGTCTGGAAATGCTGCAGCACCAGGGAGAAAAACAGGAGGGTGTAGTAAGAAGAGGAAGTCAGAGAGGCCAGAGGAAAGCTGCCGTATTAAAGTGAGAAGTGTGCAGATGGCCCACCTATCTGATTCGGGCTTTGGTTCCCTCCTTGGTGAAATGAGGAGAATCAACCAAAAGATCTTAGATACACTCTTCACACTTTGACCTGACATAATTTTAAGGCCTTTGGGTTTCTGTCATTCTACATTCTCATTTATGGAGAATGTGGGCCCTAACATCCATTCCCAATGCATCTTGGTCACTGCTTATTTTTTTAAAACGTAATCAAAGATCCACCTGCCATCTAACGGTTAGAATGCCATTTGTAGTATTGTTGCCATCTGTTAACTTCTGAATGATCTATGGATCAATCTCACATGTGTTTGATTTGGAATTCTTACCTGGGAGAAAACCAGTCTGATAGCTTTAATTCTTTTGACTGAGTATCCACAGACCTATCAGGAGGAATAATGCAAAGAATCACACTGTATCTATTTGAGTTTGTGGTAACTGAGTGTCTTCCAAATCATGGACTATGTTATAATCCGACATAAAGTGCAAGATAAGCGTGCAGCAGTACAAAAAGCAATGATCGACTTTGATGGGAGTGGCAGGGAAAATCATGATTTCTTATCTTGACTTGAGTCTCTGGGCTGCCCAGAAACCTTTATGTGTTTCCACAATGCTCATTCTCCTTCTTTTCATTGATAGAGAAATACCCATCATCACATAAAAGCTCCCTCATTCTTCTGCTACCTTGCCTCCAAATTTATCTTGAGCACTGATTTCCCCCCACCTTTTATTGCAATAAAAATGTAACCTTACTTTCTGGCCTTAAATATCCTATCTGCTCAGGAGTCTTGGTTTGAAGGGTTTCTCCTCGGCTTTCTATTCGATCAGTTGACGTGCGTGCAGGCATTTCCCTGTGGCTTCAGACTTGTTTGTGCATCTTGACCTCTCCCAGGAACTGAAGACCCAGACATCAAATTGTGTTCTGGAGTCTTCTACTTGAGTTTGCACTGACGCCACTAGATGATGTTTGATGTGAAAATCATCCTGTCTTCCCCAAAGTAGGTCCCTTTCATATGTTGCCTTATCACTTAGATTGACAAAGCAGAAGTTATGAGCAATGTTCTACACTCAGAGCACCCCTAAATCCTGACCTCAAGTCCATCATTAACCCCTACTGGCTGTACCTCCAAAACATCTCTCAAATCCATCCCCTATCTTCATCCTCTGCCACCACATGACTTGAGATCACCATCATCTGTCGGGGCTACGGTAGTAGCCTTCTAATTGGTCTCACTGTTTGTACATTTTCAACAAGACTTTGTAGTATGAAAAATGTCAAAGGTCCACAAACTGAAAGAGAAGAATATAATGAACCCCCATATTCCCATCCCCCATAATTAACACTGTGATTCCTTCTCTACCTGTCCTTGCACTGGCCTTTTTCAACCCATTCTCCATATGTCCACTGTACTTCCACTGTCATGTTTCTGAAGCTCCACTGTTCTATTTAATAGGGTTCATTGGCTTCCCATTGTCCTAAGGATCACACCTACATTCCTTAAATGGCCATGACATTTTGAGTGATCTGACCCTTCACACTGTTCCAGCCACATCTCCTACCCAGCCCCACAATGATAACTTTCCATACTCACTTGCCCCTTTAAATTTCCTTAAACATGCCACAACTTAAACCAGCTAATTCCTACATAGCCTTTAGGTCTTGTGTTAAATATCCCTACCTAAGAGATGTATTGCTAGATAAAGTTAGCTTTCCTTCATTAATAGCTAATACTTATGGAATACTTTCCTAAGTATTATCTAATTTAATCCACCCCTATGAGATAGGTATTTTTGTCATTTTTATTATCCTCATTTTACAAGATAAGGAAACTGAGACACAAAGAGTTTTTATTATCTTGTCCAGATGCACAGCAGGTGGAAAGACAAACAGTTGGGCCCGAGTCCTTACTTCCTCCTTCCTATACACTCTAATGGCACCCTGGCTAGCCTATCATTGGAGAGTTGATCCTGGACTGAGTTCAGGAGGGGATTGGGCAGCTGTGGAGCTGAGTTGTATGTCATGAGTGAATACCACAGTGTCCAGGGTGTGACTAAGACAAGGCCTTCTACACAGGCACCTGCCTCATTGACAGCAAAGCCTTTGGATACCAAGCATTAGTGTGTTAAGGCCATATGTGTAAGGTCTGATGCTAAGGAGAGCTGATATTAATGATAGAGTGATTATTAGATTGTATTGCATTGTGTACATTTTACCAGAAAATATGTTAAATCATTCTTTCTCCCAGCCTCTTCTGCATGTTCCCACCTTTGTCTAGGGGTTTTCCTCTTGTTTTCAGGTAGTTGAGAGTTACTGCCCCCTGTTAGCCATGGCTCTATAGAGGGGAAACACCCTGCTGATGAAAACCATCTTACTGTATTATTTTCATGCACAGAGCAGCTCACCCAGATATGGAGTCACTGTCCTGGTGAGAACATTGTGCACCATAGAACCACCAGAGAAATAAAGCTCTTAGACACAGTAAGCATCAGAAAGAAAGTTCCTTTTACTTCACTATGTGGGTTCCCATGACTCTAGGGAGAAACTGAAGAACATACTATGATTTGGGGTCTTGTGCAATTTTTAGGGAAGTTTTCCTCTCTGCTCATGTTCTGATAGTATGATTTTGTAGGTGGCCTATGGTTAATAACAATCTCCCAAGTCTTCTAACCAAAACTTTATTCCTATGTGATTTCCCAGAGCTTTAAAAGACCCAGAATTCCTGGAAGCTGGGTTCTGGCTCCATCACACATTTCCCCTAACCAGTTCTCACTCCTAGTACACCTAGTCCTCTGACCTTATATGAGCATCTCCAACATATGTTTGCAAAGTTATTTTGGTTTACCCTGCCTTCAGGAGCCAAGGACTTGCAGGTACCCCACTGTCCTCCGACAGGTTTTGTCCTCAAAGAAGAGGTCATAGAGCATTTGTAAATAAGGCTTACCGGCACTGGTATATCTGCTGTAGTTTCTTTGTGCTTAGGATAAACAAAAAGCATTATATTACTTTTAAACTTATATAAAGGGTTTCCATATTTAATTTTTAAAAATATTTTATTTATTTATTTGAGAGAGAGAGAGAGAGAGCAGAGGGAGAGTGAGAGGAAGAAGCTCAGCAGAGAGCCCAGTGTGGGGCTTGATTGGAGGACCTTAAGATCATGACTTGAGTCAAAGGCAGATGCTTAACAGACTGAGCCACCCAGGCACCCCGGGTTTCCACGTTTAAGATGACTAGTTATACTCCATCAATCCATGCATTTTGTTACCTAATATTGCCAAATATTCAATGAACACGTAATATTATGGACAGAATATTTTTGTCCCCTCAAATCTGTATATTGAAATCCTAACCCCCAGTATGATGGCATTAGGAGGAGGGACCTTTGGGACATGATTAGGTAATGAGGTTGGAGTACCCCATGAATGAGATGAGTAGCCTTGCAAAAGTGATACCAGAAGACTCCCTTGTCCCTTCCGCCATGTGAAGACACAGGGAGAAGGCAGCTGTCTATGGACCAGGACACCAAGTCCTCCAGCACCTTGATCTTGGACCTCTCAGCCTCCAGAACTGTGAGAAATAAATGTCTGTTGCTGATAAGCCACCCAGGGTGTGGTATTCCATTATAGCAACTCAAATGGACTAAGACACATGCTATGTGCCAAGTACATTATTGGTTGTAGAGAAATAGTAGTGACTGCAGTTAAGGACTTCATATGCTGGATCTTAAAGAAAGGAAACCTAATTCTTTGAGCTAGAAATGAAAGAAGAGCTAACTTAATGTCATTGAAACAATGGAATTTGCTAATTACCATGAAATCTTTCTACTTGTGTAAATATATGGAGGGCAGATACCATACATAGTGCCCAAAGTCACCAATATCAGGGATGTTTCTTAAAGGCGCCACCTATTTAAAAATGACAGTTTCTCTAACATTTGCCAACTGCCATAATTACATGGTCACTGTCTTGGTAGCTTAACATTGCTTCTCCTCACACATATGAGCCTACAAAAATTACATTAGCTTTGATCACATTAGAAGCAAAGAATTTTTATGCTGAAGGATGTGTTTATGCTGATATATTTGAATGCCATTTGGATATTTTGGGGTATATTGGGGTATATATATATTGGGTTGATACATTTGGATGCTGATTTATTCAGGGGGTTAGCTTAGTTTGTCATCTTTCTGACAAACTAGATCCTTACCAAACCCCAGAATAAAATATCCATTAATTTTTATTTATTTATTTTTAAAGATTTTATTTATTTATTTGAGAGAGAGAAACACAGTGAGAGAGGGAACACAAGCAGTGGGAGTGGGAGAGAGAGAAGCAGGCCTCCCGCCAAGGAGGGAGCCCGATGCGGGGCTTGATCCCAGGGCCCTGAGATCATGACCCCAGCCGAAGGCAGACATTTAACAACTGAGCCACCCAGGTGCCCAAAATATTCATTAATTTTTAAAAAATTACCTGAAATGATACCATCTGTGCAAAGCCCATAGAAACAATAAAAGTAATAACAACTGAATTATTTTTCTTCCATACTTCATCCTTTCCTGAGAGGAAAAAGAAACAGAAGTAGGTTAAATACAGAACAATGTATACAGAATAAGATGTGTTGAATTGTGATTCTCCATGACTTAAACCAGCTGATTTCATAGATATTGGCTAGGGTTTGAGGCACATCCAGTCCTTGGATGTCTCTCTATATGAAAATAGAGTTGAGTCTTGTGGAGACACTTTTTGTGGGAGCTAGCTGCCCAAAGTCTTGGGACGTTAGCTGGTCTAAGCTGACCTTGATGCAAGAGGTTTTATAACCTTCATTTGTCATTTCTAGAGTGCCCAGGGCTTTTCCTACAGAAAATAAAATACAAATGCCACTTCCCAGCCTACCTCACAGAGTGAGATGTCAGAGAAAAGAGATAATTGTGAAAATACTTACTTGGACTCTAAGAGGCATATAATTATGAAGGAACTTATTTTTAATGAATTAATATTATGAAGTTGGTCATTTCAAGACAGGTGATAGGAACAATAACAACATAAAATAGATGCTCTTTCTTAAAACTAACTGAATATAAAATTGAGTCCAAGAATGGGCTAAAGACTTACCTATAATTTTTATATTATTTGTTCATTGACCTGGGAATTTTAGCCAGGAAGTTTATGAAGCTCCTTTGTAATATTCAGTCTATGCACTTATGAAATTGTGCGCAGAAACGAAATTGAAGGTGGCTCAGTCTGATTGAAATTAAGGACAAACTCTTACCTTTTATTTTCCTAAGATCACATAGGAATTTTATATAGTTTCTTCCTTAGAGACTTAACATTTAGGGTATGGTGGTTTGGGAAGACATGTGGAAAACCTCACGTGGGCAGACAGTTTTCAAGCAGGACGTTCTAAGACTTTTGAAAAATCATGAATCAGATAACTTCGTATTGGTTCTATGGCACTCCACAGTTTGCCTGTTGATGATTTCAGTCTTCTCAGAATGATGATGTCATCAGATTCTCTTTTGTTGATGGAAAAATTGGATACTTGAAATCATAATAATTCGTATGCCAGTAGCTTCTCTTTGTCATTACCAAGGGAGTAGATTTTGTCTCATTTAGAAAAAAAAGTAGGATCATTGAAGTTCTTTTCCTTACTTTGGTTTTGTTTTATAATACATTTTTTTAAAGAATTCATTTGTTTATTTGACAGAGATCACAAGTGGGCAGAGAGGCAGGCAGAGAGAGAGGGGGAAGCAGGCTCCCTGCTGAGCAGAGACCCTGATGCAGGGCTCGATCCCAGGACCCTGAGATCATGAGCTGAGCTGAAGGCAGAGGCTTAACCCACTGAGCCACCCAGGTGCCCCTATAATACATTTTTAATTGAAGTACAATTTGTATGAAGTAAAACACAAGCAATTTAACTGTATAGCTCATTGGGTTTTTTACACAGGTACATGTCTGTGTAAAACCACTTTAATTAAGATACAGGGCATCTCCATGACCCCAGTATCTTTTTTCTTGTGCCCCTTTGAGTCACTACCCTTGCCCATCCAGGAAATCAGTGTTCTGATTTCCATTACCATAGTGGAGTTGTTCCGGCTATAGAACTTCATATAAGTAGAATTGTATGGCATGTATTCGTTTTTTTTTTTTTTCCACTCAAGGTTTTGCAACTTACTTATGTTGTTGTGTGTATCTGACACATACCAAAAGTTAATTCAAAATGAATTATAGATGTAAGCATAAAAGCTAAAGCCACAGACTTTTAGAGAAAAATGTAGGAGGATATCTTTCTAGTCTGGGGATAGGTAAAGGTCCCTTAGAGGGTGACAGAAAACAACAACTAAAAAATGATAAATTATACTTTATTATAATTAGAAAACTTCTGCTCATCAAAAGACAACATTAAGAGATGTATAAATAAGTGATTACTGATCACCAGTGGTTTACAGTGACCTAAATAATACATACCATACATGATCCATACAGGAAATAAAATCTATACTAATATTAGAAGTTCTCTGTTGATCTCCATTCTTCCTAGGAGAAAAAATGGGGGGTGGTGAAGGAGGATAATGAAATTAAATTAATACAGAATTAGAATGTTTTGAGTCATAGGAAAGTAGATCATACCAGACTAATGCTCCCATAGATGACAATCATAAGTCTTGGAAGGGAAAATAAAATAAAAATTAAATAAAATGATTTGAAGACAAAAGAGATGGAACAAAACCAGACTGATCCTTGAAAGGAGGTAAGTGTATATGGTAAAATCTACATTTATACAACTTTTCATCTGAGGTTATCTCCCAATTCACAGAGTTGTGTGGCTAGAACTCACAGAGAAAGACTTGAGGGGTCAGAGGATGAAATTGCTAGATGTAAAGGAGCTTGAAAAGTAATATAGAAAATCCCAGAAAGGAAAACACAGAATGGGGTGCCCCAAAATCTGCACAGAAACTCTGACTTAACCCCTGGATGACAACTAAATTGTCCATGCATAGGAAAAACTAGGGAAACTAGGAAATAGCAACATCTGAAATTGGGCAATTTCCACCAATGCCCCCTGCAGGATAAATGGAATTTGGAATTTGAGTCCAGCCCAGTTAACTATCTGTCCAAACAAAAATCAACACTCTTTAGAGAAACTAACAGAATCCATAGTCTCTACCTGTTATCTATAATGTCAGGTATACATTTTGGAAAAGTTCCTAGACATGCAAAGAAACAGGAATATGTGACCCATAATGAAGAGAATGAAACCTCAATGTAAGTCAGATGCTGAAAGTGGTAAACAAGGACTTTAAAGCAACTCTTATAAAAATGGCTGAGGATTTAATGGAAAACTTGGTCAAAACAAATGAACAGAGGAAAGCTGTTTAAAAATGGACATTCTAGAATTTTGAAAGTACTGTATTTGAAGTAAGGATGTTAGCGGCTTATAAACAGACTGTATACTATAGAAGAAAATGTCAGTGAAATGAAAGATAGATCAATGTTAATCATCTTATGCCAAGAAGAGAGGAAATGAAAATCCATTTACATTTAAACTGCAATCAGGAGCCACCTTAGCCACCCACATGCTGAAGTTTCCACACTGTGTCATGATGACAGTGTCCCCAAGTTGGGGGCATTCCGGAGGAGGGGAAAGAGTGGGAAGCCCGGGGGTGCAGTGTCCTGTGGTTGGACAAATAAGTTGGTGAGGCATGAACAGGCATAATAATATTGAAAGTCTGTTTTAAAGCCCATCTACCCTCAGGAAGTGTTTGAGATGGCTGACTATTAAGAAGGTAAGGTTACAGTAAACAGGGAAACAACACAAGAATTTTTTTTTTTTTAAAAAGGGAATAGAAAGAAATATTTATTTAGTCACTTAGGTAGGTGTTTTCCATGACCTTGGACATCCTAGCCATAAGAATAAAGGTCTAACTTTTATGGAATTACTGTAAGGAGACACTTCTGTCATTTTGCTTTTTGTTTTCTATATACCTTAGGACCTTTTTTGGTTGTTGTTGCTCTTCATTTTCTCCATTACTGTCTTCTTTTATGTTTAGTTTATTTTTTGCAGTGAAATACTTAAATTCTTTTTGCATTTCCTTTTACGTATATTCTATAGCTCCTTTCTTTGTGGTTATCATGGGGATTACAGTGAACATACTGAAATTATAACACTTAAATTAGAATTGATACCATCTTAACTTCAATAACATACCAAAACTATGTTCCTTTACACCTCTGTCTCCATCCTTTGTGCTGGCTGATGTCACGAAATTGCATCTTTACACATGGTATGCCCCAAAACCATGAACTAGCAATTTTTTTAAATGCAGTAGCCTCTTTAAATATGTAGTAAACAAAATTTGAAGTTACAAACTGAAGTTATAATACTAGCTTTTAGACTAGTAAATTAAAAAGTGTATTAGTCTCTTAAGTAACATAGGAAACAAAAGCTAGAATTACAAACCATTGTTACAATACTAGTTTTTGTAATTGCCCATGTATTTACTTTTTTTTTTTAAAGATTTTATTTATTTATTTGACAGAGAGAGATCACAAGTAGGCAGAGAGGCAAGCAGAGAGAGAGGAGGAAGCAGGCTCCCTGCTGAGCAGAGAGCCCAATGTGGGTCTTGATCCCAGGACCCTGGGATCATGACCTGAGCTGAAGGCGGAGGCTTTAACCTACTGAGCCATGCAGGTGCCCCCATGTATTTACTTTTATTTTTCCATGCCGCTCTGAGTTACTATCTAGTGTCCTTTCATTTCACTCTGGAAGACTCCCTTCTGACTTCCAAAGTTTCTGACAAGAAATCTGCCAGTATCTTATGGAAGATCCCTCATATGTGATGAGTCATTTCTCTCTTGCTGTCCTCAAGATTCTCTTTATCTCTATTTTTCAAAAGTTTGATAACAATGTGTCTCAGTGCGCATCTTCAGTCCCTCTTTCCTGGAGCTGGTTGAACTACTTGGATGTTTACATTCATCTCTCTCGTCAAGCTTGGGATGTCTTCAGCATTATTTCTTCATATATTCTCCTTCTCTTCCCCTTCTGTGATGCCCCCAATGTGTATGTGCTCTGCTTGATGGTGCCCCACGTCTGTTAGGCTCTGTTCACTTTTCTTCAGTCTTTTTACTTTCTGTTCCTCAAACTCCGTATTTATTGTCATATATCTTCCAGGTTGCTGACTCTTCCTTTCACCTGCTCAAATCTGCCTTTGACTCCCTCTAATGAACTTTTCATTTCAGTTATTGTAGCTTGCAGCTCCAGAATCTCTTTTTGGTTTCTCTTTTGGTTTTTCTCTTTGATTGTTATTTCCACTTTGTTCGTACGTCATTTTCTTGACTTTACCCATGTCTTCTTTTGGTTCTTTGAGCACTGTTGACAGCTGCCTTTGTCTAGTACATCTGCCATCAGGACTTTTTCAGGAACAGTTTTCTGTTTATTTATTTTTCCTTTGCATGAGCCATACTTTTCTGTTTCGTTGTATGCCTTGTGAGTTTTTGTTGCTGTTGTTGTTGAAAACTGGACATTTAAATCTCATACTGTGATAACTCTGGAAGTCAATTATCTTTTTTCTCCAGGGTTAACTGTTTTTTGTTGTTGTTTTCATTTATTGTTTTGGCTTTTTTGATTGTCGTAAGCTGTCTCTGTGTCAAGAATCAGGATAAGGTATAAATTTAAGGCCTTCTGAGGTCTTTTCTGAGCCTATCCCTGGGCATGCATGATCACTTACTAATTTTCCCATTTATGTAGTCATTATGGAATCTTCCACTCTGGCTCCCAAAATAGGAAAAGAGAAAAATGAAAAGAGAGAAAAAGAGTGCTGGTCCTTTACATCCCTGGGCGGTCTCTTCAGCTGAAGGGGGAGGGTCTTGCAACACCTTGGGAAGAGCAACATCTACAGCCACCTGCCTCTGACTCATCTCTGTGATCTTAAGCTACGTTAGTGGTTGGAGCACAGATCCCTGATAAGCGGAGGACAGGGTCCCTTTTGCCCTTTCTGGGTCCCCCAAGATGCCAGGAACATGTGCACAACTGCCCGCCACATGGCTGGAGTGGAGAATGGGTGGCTGCTTCCATGCTAAGAGCTGAAATTGACCAAAGTTAACCTTAAGGTACCATCCAAGCCCTCCCTTGGAAGTTGCTCACCTTTGATAGACTCTGGAGTTCCAAAATAGTTAGATTCTGCAAGTGCAATCATTGTCTAGGCAGGGAGACAGATGCCTGGTGCTTCCAATTCCACAGTGTTCCTGGAACCCTCTCTACCTGGGAAGCTTTTAGAAGTCCTAATGCCTATCCAGTTCAATCAGAATCTGTGGGGTCAGAACCAGGCATCAGTATTAGCTCTCTAGGTAGTTCTAGGGTGCCGCCAAGTTTGAGAACCAGGGCTGTATACCCCCTACAACTAAGAGAGAGGTATAAGTCCTATGGGCTACTTTGGAATTTGGAGGCAGTGCCCCATACACGTTGATCCCATTTACC